TACTGGCGCTACGTCGAGCACGACAGCGAGAGCGAGGAGGCGACGCGCCAGGTGAGCGAGGAGCTCGAGGTGCTCCTGCGCGACTGCCATCCGAGCCCGTGCGTGGACCTGCCGCCATCGTCGTCTTCCCCAGAGTCGACGCCGTCGACGCCATCGCCAGCGACCTTCGCCTCGCCGCCGACCGTGTCGACCGACGAGTACGCCGCTTTGCTGAAGACGATGTACGCGCAGGGCCTCCACCACCCATGAAAAAAATGCCCCATGTTTCGAACATGTACTTGTGAAATTTTAAACACGTTTTAAATGTATTTCAAATTGCATCCTGTTGCCATGGAAACACAACTGATCTTGTCGACAATGGAAAAGAGAAATGAGAAAGAGAAATCGTATTTGGCGAACGGTTCGTCGTGTTGTTGGTGGGGAAGAGAAGCCTTCACGCCAAGTGGGCACCCGTGTCAAGTCTTCCTTCTAGTACCAAGTCTAAAGAGGTTGCCAAGCTGCTCTCATCATGGGCTGCGGCGCCAGCCAGCCCGGATCTCCCGAACCTCAAGGTACCCTCTTCTGTTCTTCAAATCGAACAATAAATATAAAAATAAAAATAAAAATAAATCTTGCTTTCCGTTCTCTTTTCACAAATAAATTAATGAATACATCTAAAAATTGAAAATATAATTTCGTAATTTTATTTCTAACTACGGGGAACAGAGGAGCACCAGCCGCTGCTACACGACCGAAGGCCCGGCGGAGGCGACCACCAGCGATGGCGCGCCGAGGCCCAGCAGCGCTCGCCCTCGTCCCTCCCGCGCGGCGACAGCGACCCACCGCCCGCCTCGCCGCAGCGTCGCGAGAAGAAGACCCGCGTCTGGCCCCGCTCGCCGCACCACCACAACAACGTCAACGGCACCGTCGGCGCCGACCTAACGACAGAGCAGATGGCGCTGGCCATCGCCGTGGCCGCGCTCAACAGAGAACGCGCCGGCGCCGGCGTTGGTGAGGCGGAGGAGCGGCGGGCGCGGGCGCTGGCGGCGGCGATGGTGGCGTGGGCCGAGGGCCAGGCGGCGCAGCTGATGACGACGCCGGCGACGGACGACGGGCGCGAGGTGGGGCGGCCGCCGCGGCACAACTTCTGCTTCAAGTGCGGCGCGGCCCTGCACTCGGCCGCCACCTTCTGCGCCGACTGCGGCGTCAAGCTCCCGCGCGAGGGCGACACCGAGGTGCCGGCCGCACTCTCTCATCTC